TTTTGTTTTAACAGATTCGTTTGAAAAGTTGAGAACATTGGGGCAAGATAAATTCAAATTGGACTCAGTTTGAATTGGGCAAGTGTATCCAGGCTGCAATTAGCTTTTGGTCCTTAAAGTGCAAGTGAGCAACTTCCCATGACTGCAAGACCAGAGCCTATAATAATAAAATCCCATGGAATGGCCAAGGCAAAGACATTTCTCTCATGACGTGTCCAAACCTGTGCCAGCTGTGGTGAGTGCCAGGCAACATGGTCAATATGAAAGCCCTAAGTGAATTCACCAGGGATTGCCACTACTGTGACACCATGCCGGTGTGAGACCACAGAAGAGCTACCTTGACACCTGAGAACACAAAAATGGCGGGGGGCATAGCAAACTGCATTTTTCAGTCATTAGTGGACCCTTCCTGCTAAATGCAAAGCATAGACCACTATTGAGAAAATATTTCTTCCAAGGTGCTAGAATACCACAAGTAACTGAGCAAACAAAATATTAATTTTATGTCTAACTATGTGCACTGTTACACTATTATATTTCTATGCAAATATCCTTTAGAATCGTGACATCCAAGTCCCTTTCAGGTTCACATGGACACACACATCTGGGACGGAGAATAGCAGGTTAATATTTACCACCTTAAATTGTGTGGAGAAAAGGATTGCAAAGTAGCCACCTTTGCAATCTTATCTCCGAAGGGGGGAACTGTAGCAGGAACCCCCCATCATCCAGTTTGTACAAACTTCACACACACTCACACTCACACACTACATACGCCACACTTGTGTTGTTTGGAGATCACACATGGTGGTGGTGAGAAAGTTTGGTGCAAAAACCAGTCACACAAATATGCACCAATTTTTCATGCTTGAGTACAGCAGTTTCAGCAGTAAACAAATACAGCACACAGGATATCTAAGTCAGGCAGACAAACCGGCAGAAGGGAGCAAGGCAGGAAGGAGGCTGGAAGGACGCAGAGCAATGGAGGTGTGTCTTTCGCTTCCTGTCGCCTGGGAGGGAAGTCAGCAACTCAGCATATTCAGGGGCTTCACGAAGCAAAGCTTTCTGCCAGTGGCTTCCAGGCAAATGAGCATCCTGGAAACACACACTGTGATTCTTGGTGTGTTGCCATATCATTGTTTTTGAAAGGTTATCATGATATGGTCTAGAAAACCAGTTTGGACAATATATCGCCCAGCCCCTAATCCTCATTGACCACCAACAATCCAGACAAACACTCTGCCCTTCTCTATCAAAAGGCACTTTACATCTTAGATCATAATCACATTGTTTGACATTGCCTTCAATATTTTATTACGATAGAGTTTTACACATAAAAAACCAGAAGTTCACATACACAACATGTGTTAAAGACTTATTCCTCCTGAGTTCATTTCTATGAAGAAAAGAGTGGACTCTGAGAGGAAGACCTCCAACACTCCATACATCTAAATGGGTTTTTGCATCTGAGAGTTTCTGGATTTTCCTTAAACACTACATTGTAAATAAAGAACTTTTTGCAATCTTTCCATTTAAACTGCTTCTCCTCTTTGAGTCTGTTGATGGTTTGTACGGTTTTCAACTCCAAAGGTTCTTCCTGTCCGTGAATCTGTTGATTTAGAATTAACACCAAGACTGAACCTCTATCGACTTTCCTGATATTTATAAGGTTTGTGTTTTGTGTGAGTTTCTTCACATAAATCAAGGGTTCCACTCTGGACTGGAGCTCCTTCCACAGTCCATACATTTAACCAGTTTCTCCCCTGTGTGTCTGCTGATGTTTCCTAAGATTTTCCATAATGACTGAAGCTCTTTCCGCACTCCATACATGTAAATGGTTTTTCCCCCGTGTGAGTCCGTTGATGTTTTCTAAGGTCTCCATTCTGACTGAAGCAATTTCCGCACTCCATGCATTTAAATGGTTTCTCCCCTGTGTGATTCCGTTGATGTTTTTTAAGAGTTCCATTATCACCAAAGCTCATTCCGCACTCCATGCATTTAATGGTTTCTTCCCCTGTGTGAGTCCGTTGATGTTTTTAAGGGTTCCATTATCACTAAAGCTCTTTCCGCACTCCATACATTTAAATGGTTTCTCTCCTGTGTGAATCCGCTGGTGTAATTTAAGGACTCCATTCTGACTAAAGCACTTTCCGCACTCCATGCATTTATATGGTTTCTCCCCCGTGTGAGTCCGTTGATGTTTCTAAGGTCTCCATTCTGACTGAAGCAATTTCCGCACTCCCAGGCATTTAAATGGTTTCTCCCCTGTGTTGAGTCCGTTGATGTATATTGAGGTGTCCACTCTTACTGAAGCTCTTTCCGCACTCCATACATTTAAATGGTTTCTCCCCTGTGTGAGTCCTTTGATGTGTTCTAAGGGATGCATTGAAATTAAGCTCTTTCCGCACTCCAGGCATTAAATGGTTTCTCCCCTGTGTGAGTCCGTTGATGTATATTGAGGTGTCCACTCTGACTGAAGCTCTTTCCGCACTCCATACATGTAAATGGTTTTTCCCCCGTGTGAGTCCGTTTGATGTTTTCTAAGGTCTCCATTCTGACTGAAGCAATTTCCGCACTCCATGCATTTAAATGGTTTCTCCCCTGTGTGAGTCCGTTGATGTTTTTTAAGAGTTCCATTATCAGAAGCTCATTCCACACTCCATGCATTTAAATGGTTTTCTCCCCTGTGTGAGTCCCGTTGATGTTTTGAGACAGCGGAGGAGGAGGAGGCGGCATGTCCGGGCAGCAGCAGCAACAACAGCAGCAGCAACTCCCGCCGCCGCCCCCTCCTCCGCCCGCTATCGCCGCCACCACCACAACAGCCGCCGCCGCCTCAGCTGCCGCCGTCCCTCAGTCCCTCGCTCTGCTGCCTCCCCACCCCCAAAGCTTGGAGGTTCCCCGGCAAGGGGGAGGGAAAAAATTAAAAACTTTCACTTTCGTGCGTCCCTCCCGGCGTGACGCTGCCGGCTGACGTCACGGGCTTGTAATGGTGGTGTGCGCGAGATTTTTTTCATTAAACAGGTGTGCCGTTGCCCAAAAAAGGTTGGGAAACACTGCACTAGTGTGCCGTGAGATGTTGCCTGGTGTGCCGCGGGAAAAAAGTAAAAATTCGAAAGATTTTTTTTTTTTAAGTCAAATTTTCGATTTGGCCGCCGTCACTAGATGACCCCTGGGGTTCCCTCCCTCCCTCCCTCTCTGCGCCTCCCTCCTCCTCCTCCTCCTCTGGGGAGGCCCTTCCTGGCTCTCAGCCAAGGCTTGGCGGCTGCCACTCACTCACTCGCTCGCCCACCCGTCCCTCCATCCCTGCACCGCCTCTCCCCCTCGGTCCCCGGCGCGGGGGCTGCCGGGATCCGTAGTCCCCTCGCCCTTGGGCTCCACGCCTGCGCGGGGTGCGCAAACTACGTTTCCCAGTGTGGCCTGGCGGGCCGGGTGTTTTGTTTGAAGCGCTCTTCTCCCGGCCATGGAATGAGCGCGGCGGCGGCCGGGCGGGCAGGGCTCTAACGCGCAGACCCCGCGCAGCCTGCCTGCGCCCCCGCGGAGATCGGGCGGCAGGATGGAGCCCGGGGATCCCCGCGGAGGCGGGGAGGCGGAGGCTGCCCCCCAGGTAGGGCTGCGTCGGGGGGGGGTTATTTTTGCAATGCTGCATCCGCGCCGGAGGGGACGCATCGAACCGCGGGGAGACCCCTTGGCGTGCGTGCAAGCAATGCATGCGTGGTGTTGCATGGAGTGCAGTGCAATGCAATGGCAACGCGCGCCCTGCATGCATGCATGCAACTTCCACCGGCGCTCCGGACTTGGCTGGTGAGGGGGTCCCCAGTGGGCGGCAGAGAGAGCCGGGAGGGCGAAGGGAGCCGGGGGGAGCAGCGCTGCTCCCCGAGCCGAGCCCGGGGGGAAACTTCGGCGTCGTTGCGCCGGGTGTTGGAAGCGGAGGCTGGCGGGGGCCCTCACCTGCAAAACCTGGTCGCCTCTCATATATTTCGTGCATTGCATTCATCGCCCGCTTTCTCCCCCAAGGAGCTCCCGGGGCGCGCATGGTTCTCCCCGTGTTATCCTCGCAACAAACAGCCCTGTGAGGTGGGTCAGGCGAGTGGCCCAAGGGAGCACCCAGGGATTGTCCTGGCCAGGTGTGGTGATTTGAACCTGCTCTCTGCCCGTCTTCGTCCTCATTTAGCCCCCACATGTGCATGACTGTGCATGACTGAGTTTTATCTCT